ATGATGTCATGGGGTAGGACTAGATAAGTCTAACTTCTTCCTACTCCGTTCAAGCATTTACTAGGTATAAGCAAATTGATATTGGATTATTATTGTTGGATATGTGTGAAATTACATGTGTTGACATCAATCAAATCAAAAGTAGCTGCCCTGCAATAAATCAAATCAATCAAATCAAAAGTAGCTGCCCTTATTTTGTGTCCATGAGCAGGACAACACTGGCTTTAACAATGCCATTAGCTTAAGTGTCACCACAAAGTCCTGTTAGCTCATTAGCTTAAAGCCTCTGGTCCACTTATCAGCTTCAGGGTTGCTCCCCAGCACACTGTTTAACCAGTGACTTTGTTGCAGAGCTGTCTTCTTGTACTGGTTTCTTTTTAGACAGCCTAATACCTTGAAATTCTGTGTCCTGGGTGCTTCCGTGTTACGCAACAGGATGAGGCTTTGGTGGACACGTGTTTGTACAACATTAGTGCGTGAATGCGTCACGTAATTTGTGACTTAATGTAACTTTAATAGATAAAAAAAAACATACAGACAAATCCTGAATGAATCATCTCTTTAATAATGTGTGTATGCTTGCCATTATTCCTCTCTTCAGATCACATCCCTGCAGACCTGCAAGACCCTTTCTACACTGACCAGTATGAGCAGGAGCACATCAAGCCCCTCATCATCCGCCTGCTACTGACTGGAGAGCTCTACTGCCGGGTCTGTGGTCTCATCTTTCATGCTGAGCAGGCTCCCTCGCTCCAGAGCCACCAGTCTGTCATCCAGGCCCTGTCCAGGAAAGGCATCTATGTCCTAGAGGAGGACAACACACAGGTCTCAGATCTGGACCTCAGCTCAGCTCCCATAAAGATGGTGGGTAGCTTAACCTTTCTCTAGGTTAAGCACAACCAAGTTTTGCTTCTAGTCTATGGTATTGCAATTATAATCATGCTTCTTGAGCTAATATTTGCATTGTCAGTTATGGTGCACAAGAAAAAAACAGTTTACAGCTGTGTTGTAGTTAAAGCTATTAATCAGTATTTTTCTATTAACAGTGGATTAACAATGTGATGCAAAAATTAATAACGTGAACGGTGTTGCTACTAATGATAAATCTACAAAGGATTATCAACTGACTCAGCAGTCCACCTTACCTCTACAGATTTTCAGCTGGTTGATCATGGCATAAAAAACACAACTCTAAATGAATGCTAATGTTGCTCCATGTCTGCTGAATTTGTAAATAGGCAATTGTTTTCTAAAAAGATCAACATATCAGCTGTATAAGCTAATAATATACAGTATCAATGTTGTTAACATCTTGTTTCTCTGCATATACAAGCCCAAAAATATTTTTAAAAATGCTGCTTTCAGAAGGAGTAGATAATTGGTTTGTCCCCAGATATAAGACTTTTTCACTTTTGTGTGAATCGGAGTACATTCTCTGCAGTAGTATAACCTAGTGAACTGGGAGCCCACATTTACCATCTGTTACAAGCTAATGCAACTTTGCTTTCTAGAGCCAAATGTGAGCCTAGAGAATTAGCATAAAAAATGTTCTAGTGGACATGGCTGTTTTGTTTTAGTGTGTGTCACTAAAATATTCATGAAGCAAAATGATCCAAAGGCTCAACATTTTTGTGATACGAACCCACTCTCCGGAAGTATTAGTCATATCCCACAGGTGTGAAAACACAAAAGGCAACAAGCTGTCAGAGAAACAGCCCTTTAAAGTATCAGTTTGTAAAGTGTCAGTGTATGAATGTGTTTTTTTTTTCATCTTTGAGAAACAAGTTGGTGATTTTCAGTTTTCATTATAATGAAAATACCTAAATTTTGTCCATCTGGAACTGTACTGTAAAATATTGCATGTGAGTCATAAAATAATGACACAGACATCATCTCACGTGGAGGCGGTAAGGACTTTTTGACTATACCTCTGCATGTTTTAGTCTAGAAGGTCTGCGCTGTTTCCATGGCAACTCAGCGATGGAGCATCTCTATCATGATTTTAAAATCAACTTTGTCAATAGAAAGGCACACACGTGCACTGCTATTATTGAGGCAGTATGATCATTTTTATTTAATTAATTTTACAATAAGCAGACTTGTCATGCTAATTCAGATTTGCAGTGTATGGAAGAGTTAGTTATCACAACATGAAGTTTAATGTAAATCCAAAGTAATGTTCTTGCAGAGCTCCCACATCCACCTCATTGATGCCCTGATGATGGCCTATACAGTGGAGCTGATCAGCATAGAGAAGGTTGTGTCCAGTGTCGAGCGCTTTTCAAACTTCAGTGCCTCCACGGAGATGCTTTTTGACCTGGAAGATGCAATGGTCTTTTGGATCAACAAGGTACGAACCAAACATGGGTCTTAATGTTTAAATTTGTTCATTCTTTCTTCTTTGTTGACTTATAGTATCTTTGTCAGGTGAACACAAAAATGAGGGAGATCATAGAAAAAGAGCTGAAAATGAACCAACATCTGCACGAGTCACCCAGTCAGCAGAAGGTAACATGTATCTGTTTAATCCCCTCATCTCACACTCTCTTTGTTTCTTCTTTTCACTGCTACAGAAAGTAACTGTCCCTGAATAGTGTTTTTCTTCAGGGATGTTGTTGCCTTTGTCTGTTGTCCTGTGATTTTACACACATGCATCTTGTCCTCCCTGGTTGCATTAAGGGCAGAGGCACACCAAGCTGATGTGAAAGAACTAGCAGTGATGAAGGCTGACCTTTGTGTCACCTCACGTCAGATTTTTCTGGGCCAGTCAGTTTGAAAAAGTGACATTTGAACACACTGCTCAGACTACAGCCATTGGCCGACCATGGTGCGTCTTTGCCCTAAGGTGTGGTTTAGATATCAGATCTTGCTTGCATGGTGATCTGATGACCCCCTTACATCACCTTCTGATCACAGATTCAAACATGTCTTTCACACAGAATCAGTTAGTTGTGAGCTAAAACCTAAGCCCTGCATTTTTTAGCCTATATCTGTGGACATTTTACCAAATTGGCACCATTAAAAGTACATAGAATTAGCTATCATTCCTGTATGTTGTTGATTCTGAGACAAGTTCTGGAATTACATGGAGCATTTTCTTAGCTGATTTATGGACATTTATTGATGATGAAGATGGGAGTTACAGTAATTCTAGCCACAGAAGTGCAAGTCATCCTTAGTCTAAAAATACCATGAATGTACTTTCATAACTGACTGACTTGTGGCTCTGCACTTCAACTCTCCCATGCATATCTGGGTGCACAAATGCCTCTAGTTGCCTTCCTCATTTGCCTGTTCCCTGAAAAATTAGACATTGTTGATGTGTTCTGCCTAAACCTTTCCAGTTGTCTTTACAGTTGAGCTGTTTCCAGTGTAACAGAGGATAATCTTATTCCATGTCACTGAACCTTGACTTGTCTGCTTTGTCTGCTGCTCTTCCTGTTTGTGACCCCTCCCAATCCCCATCATACCCCCAAACATTCTAATCTTTCCTGCCTCTTGGATTCTAGTCTCCCTCCAAATGGTACTGGAAGCTTGTACCTGTAAGTGCAACTTCAAGCAATCTCCTGTGTGACTGTATGTACATTGTGTCTGTGTGAGGTGTGTGTGTACCTAATGAGAGACAGCAAAAACAAGAGCAGTCAGAGGGTGCATGTACCTCTGCCAAGGCACAACACTGGCTCACGCAAATGGGTCTTTTGTGAAAAATGAGATCTACAACAACACAAAATGTGTCTTAAAATCCTTGATCCAGATCTGATCTGGATCATCTTTTAGAATATGATAGACAGTTATACTGTGCATCTGACCTGAACATTTCAGGGCTCTATCTTCATTATAGGCCAGGTTATGGCAGACAATATGCATTAAATGTGGTTTTCAAAGTTAACTTGTGGTGATAAAGGAAGAAACAGCAAGCTCATTTGCTTTTGCTTTGCACGAAACCCTTTTTTTTTTTATTTTCATCTGAGCTTTTACATTAATCACCTCCCCTGCCCCTAAAAAAAGCAACACACTGCAGTACCATTCTACACTTTCTCTTTCTTTTGACTCCAGCAAAGACAAAAGTGAACTCCCAGGCACTTCTTACTCACTGTCATCCACTGTTTGAATGGCTCAAGCCCATTCATCCAGTCATGACTACCTCATCTCAATAACGTCCTCCCAATCTTTTCTTTCTTCCCTCACCAGCCTGATACATTGCATGCTCGTTGCATTTTGGAGCCTCTGGAGTTCTCTCGTGTGGTAATGTACAGCCCATCTCTTTGTTTCATTCTGTGGTTTTCCCTTTTCTTCATCATTTATCACACGCACCAGCTACTGTAACCACCTTATTTTTAGTTAAATGACACCTAATATTTTTAATATCCCTGCTAGTTGAGTGAAGACACAAACCCTATATAATGTACCACACGAATTTGTGGATAATACCTGGAGAATAATACATTATATAAAAACTAATATTCCTTCAAAAATAATGTGAGAAATGTTGTGTTTATGTGTGACAAGCAAGTGTGTACCTCGTGTTTTGACTACTTACACTTTTTGTTAACTTGAGCCCTCCCTTACTCTGTAGGTGCGTTATAGCAGAGATCACCTGTCAGGTCGGACACCGCAGCACTTCCCCCGGTTGGATGACCTGTTGAAGGACATCAGTGACGGCATGGCTCTGCTGGTTGTGATCCACTTCTATTGCCCAGATGTCATTAGACTGGAAGGTACAGTAATACTGGACTACTATTAGTCAGTTTTCACACTTCCACTACTCTGTTGCTTAGAGTTATATAATTCTTTAAACGAGCAGTTTGACATTTTGGGAAGCATGCTTATATGCTTTCTTGCTGAGAGTTAGATGAGAAGATGGGTACCACCCTCCTACTGTAGCTGGATCCTAAATATGACGCTAGTGCCAGGAGACTGTTAGATTAGCTTTGCTTTAAGACTAGAAGTAGGGGGAAAAGCTAGCCTGTCTAAAGAAAAACAAATCAGCCTACCTCTGAAGTTTACAAATTAATTCATTAATTGATACATTTGATCTCCTTTTATACTTCCTGCCAAATAGAGCCAAACAGTCACTCCCCTTGTGTCAGGTTTTTATGCTCGGCTAAGCAAATCACCTGCTGGCTCGAGCCATGTCTTTAGTGTACAGGCATGTGAGTAGTGTTAATCCTCTCAGCTAACCCTCAGTTAGAATGCAAAAGCAGATCATATTTAAATAATAGCATCAATAGTGTTGACAGCTGATGTCCTGTTTTGCACAGATATCTGTCTGAAAGAGGTTCCCTCCATAGCAGACAGTGTGTACAACATCCAGCTACTAAAGGAGTTTTCTAATGAGTACCTGAACAAATGCTTCTGTCTGAAGCCTGAGGACATGCTGTATTCACCCCCAGTACTGAAGGTGAGCCACAAAACATTAAAAAAAACAGACTCCGGTGATGTTGACATGTCTATTAACTTTATCAACTTGTCTTGCAGAATAATGTGATGGTTTTCATTGCTGAGCTTTTCTGGTGGTTTGAGAGTGCGAGGCCAGACTTTGTACAGCCCAGGGACCTTCAAGAAATCAGAGATGGTAAAACCCACTGTCTACTATGCTGTGTTTTTGATATATATTGAACTGCTAATGGCTCTTTTCAACAATGGTGTCCTGTATTATAGGTTTTCTTCTAAATGTTCATATCCCCGTTGATTGTTTTTGCAGTGAGATTGCTGCTGCAGCCTAAGAGTTCACGAACCCATGTACCCATCTCCAGCGTCACCAAACGTAGTTTCCTGACATCATCAAACTCTACTGATGTCTTGACCACACCCCCAAGTCCTAACCTCAGGTACGATACTGGAACTGTGTTTTGTAGAAACACCACACAGAGGCAGCTTTACGTTCAAATGATACGTTTACTGATTAATGTGTGGTAGTTTGTTATATTCTGAAAAAGGTATTGGCATTTATCTATTTGTACATTTGCATTTTTGTAATGTAAAACTTGATATACTACTACTCGTACACCAGTAGGTTTGGTAAAGGTCCAAAATATGAACATCTATGTGTGATTTACATGTCTCTGCACTTTACATATGGTCACATTACATAAGCTCGTTTTTGAGAGTAACACTTTTCACAAAACTTTCGCTATATAATAACATTTTAGCAGCTAAAATCTAATTGTTAACCCTGAAGCCCAGTACTCTGTCTTTCCCTTACAGCACCAAATCAAGCTCAAATCCATCTCAGTCCTTAATGCCCCTGAGACAGAAACAGCAGAGGGTGGTTGAGGAGAGAAAGTCAGGTACTATGAAAACATTTACTCATTCTCTGGTGCGGTTTGCTGCCTAAGCGCACACATGAATTTTAACGGAGAAAGAGAGAAGCAAGATACAGAGCAGGAAGACCATTTTGATTGTTCTTTGGAGGTGATCAAAATGTTCCTTTGTTGTGTTTTAATTTTTAATTAATTTTGCATGGTAGAGAAGTCCCTTTTGTAATATGGTTTATATTTTTTGTACAGAGCTGATAAACAGACCCATCTCGCTGATGTGTGCCGATGGACAGCACCAGGGTTCAGTACTGTGCCGGCCAGAAAAGAGGCCGAGGTGAGCAGTGTTATTACAGCCTTCACAGTCTCTATAGTGATGACAGTTATTCAGTTGCACGTACAGGTACAGTTACAACAGACAAGTTTCCCATATCTGTTCTAAAATTCTGTTTTCTGGGAAAGTTTAATTTACAAAAATGTCATTCAAAATGTTTTAAATTTCACACCGCACAGCTTCAGTAATCACCAAACTAAAATATAACAAATGACTTATTGTCTTTTAAGCACTTTGAATTGCATTACCATATATTACATTTGCCTTGCTCACCTAAACCATATTTCCTCCTCTGTTCCTGTGTAGGCCTTTATCTCAGCCAGTGCCCTATGCCCTGCATTTTCCCCTGGAGGATGATCCAGACAGGATCAGCCTCACTTGCTCCATCAGCAAAGACAGTTTGGCTTCTAACATCCTGAACATTACCCCCAAATATATGTTGGGTTCGGGTCCCCACATGCCTCAGCACAAACTCAGTGGTCAAAGCCTGTTTAGTCACATGCGCATAGAAGATGAAGAGGAGGAAGTAGAGGAAGAGGAATTGGTTGCTCTAATCCACCCTTCAGCATTTTCTCGACATCGACATGGGAGTGATATGGAGCAGGATGAACTGGAAATTCAAAGTGCAACTTCTGCCTCAAGGGTTTCTAATACTCGTTATTCTTCCCACCTTGATACAGGTGCTATTACAGTGGACCAACAAGCAGACAGCTACTATCTGGAGCCTTTGATGCCTGCTGTCCTTAAACCAGCCAAAGAGAAAAGCATTAGCCTGAACAAGGAGGAGGAGAGTGGTGAGAGTCACAGTAGAGCACTAGTAGCTGCTAGGAAAGGAGTCACCAATGTCCCAAGCACCTCACAGAGGAAAGCCCCTGTAGCTGATTCACAAAGAAGCACCTTTGTACCCATACCTGTTTCAGAATCCATCCCTAGCTCTCTCAGGCCACCCACAGAAGAGTCAGTAAGCATCTGTCAGTCTGGGAGTAAACAGTCCCAAGGCTTTTTCCTTCATTTGTCAGGAGAGTCAGACAGCCACAGTCATTTCTCCAGTGGACTGGAGGTAGGCCACAACTCAGACTCTGACATTACAGACCTGGAGGAAGATGAGGAGGAGGATGAAGAGATGGACCTGATTAAAGAAGTGGATAAGAGAGGAAAGGGGAAATACTTAGAGGAGGGAGAATTGTATGAATTTGTAGAGGGTGAATCAACCAAGCTGAGAGAAGACTTGAAGCTAAGTGAGCGGGACGATAAGGAAGATGGCAGTAGATGCTCAAGCCCTTGCCTCAGTACCATATCCTGGGTAAGTAGCTGCAGTGCTTCAGGCAGCACCAGTGTTAAGATGACCAGCTTTGCAGAGAAAAAGCTCCTTAAACTTGGTCTCCGTGATGGCTTCTCAAGTACCAGCAGCTCCCAGAAGACCACACCTGATGGCTCTGAGATTAGCCCTTGCCCTCCCTGGCAGCTGAGGATTGATAACAGCTCAGGGTGGCTAGGGAAGGACCCCGGATCTGTGTTGGGGAAAAATCTGATGGAGAGTCCCCCAGTGGTGTCTTCAGAGCAGCTGCAACTTCACATGCAGCTGGAAGAGCAAAGACGTGCTATTGAGTATCAGAAGAAGAAGACAGAGACCCAATCAGCACGGCAGAGACTAAAGCTAGGCAAAGCTGCATTCTTGAACATCGTCAAAAAGGGTGGAGGGAAGAGTGATACTCTTCCTTTGCCATTGAAACACTCCCGGGAATACTCAGAAAAAACTGCTGTTGACAGGAGTAAAATAAAGAACCAGTCCTCATGGGATGACTCTTGTCTTGATGCTCTGAAGGTCCAGGTGAAGGCAGGACAACCAGAGGGAGGCCAGCTAAACAGAGACAACAGATTAAACCTTCTGTCCCAGGATAATGGGGCTGAACCTGACCTGAATGAGCATTCTCACCCCATAGATGTACTCAGTGAAGTTATCAGCTCCATTCAGCAGCAGATGATGCAGCTCTCCTTACAGCAAAACCTGCTGATGAAGCAGAGCGTGGTCTCACCTCCAGACTTTATACAATCAGGCGCTGGCACAAACCCAAACACGACACAAACAACATCCTCTACCTCAGACTCCAGATCTTATGCAGCTCACTTTGTTGATATCAGTGGCAGCAATGCTGTCCCTGCTTGCCGTCCTCCCAAGCTTAGCTCAGGCCAGCGTAGTAAAGCCTCAGACAGAAAACAAAATAAAGAGAACAGCAAATTGAAGTCTGTAAAGTCTATTAATCAATCCTTAGAGAGCATGCCTTCTCCTAGAGAAAATACCAGCAGAGATCAGGAGACAGGTGTTAATGTTGAGAGCTCCAGGGTAGAGGGGAACATTCAGCGAAACACCACCTTCAGAGTCCATGGTGGTACTGGACAAGGAACTGGGCACTTCGCAGACAAACCCCAATCAGAGGACCCACCAGCCATCTCCAGTACGCCCACATCTCCATCACAGGCTGCAGAACAAGAGAAGAATAAAGCTCACAGCTCAGGAAAAGAGGCTCTTGGTGGAGATGAGATTGCTAGGGTCAAGGGTCAACTGATTGAGGTCGACCTATCAGAGCTTAAGGATCCACTGGAGGATGGCAGTGCAGATGTTACAGACTGTGCAGCAGAGGGTGAGCAGAAGAACGTGCTGGGTTTCTTCTTTAAGGTAAAATTATGCTTCTCTGCATTTTCTTGTGTGCTTGTTTGTGTAATTTGGGATTTGGTGTATCAAGGGCACATTTGAGAAGTATAGTTCCTAACTGAATGATGAAATGATGATTACTCTTTTATCTTCCAGGGTGATGAGAAGGCAGAGGATGAAATGGCGAAACGTCGTGCTGCCTTCCTGCTCAAACAGCAGCGCAAAGCTGAAGAGGCGAGACTACGTAAACAACAGCAAGAAGCCGAGACCGAGCTCAAACGTGATGAAGCCAGGTATGTTTTCACACAAA